AAGTATCAGAAATGATAGTGAAGAGAATTTACAGAGAGACTGCAAAAGTGAAATATAGCAAACTCTGGAAGAAAATATCAGCTTGACACTGCATTTTATCCTTGTCCTACAGGATTATGAAATTACATAATTTTACATTGCAAATGGAAGTGTGTGTTCTTTGAACACCCAGTCAGTATAACACCTCTGAAATAATTATATATGCACACTCCCCAAGTGAATAAATCAGGCTAGTGCCTCCCTTAGTACAAGAAATTAAGTTTAATGGAAAACAGAAACAAACTCTTTCTCCCTGTTCTGGACATCTGCCTTTTCTCAGGGAGATAGGACAATTTGGTATATAAAGGTGAAGGAGGCTGAGTGCAGGGGGGCAAGGAGATGGGGGAAGAACTACACATGTTTTCTGCTAATTGCTTTGTCCTGATTCTGTTCACGTAGACATGCACCTTGGGGGAAATAAATGGAGAGATATCTAAACCTCATCTCAGGGGTCTATTTCACCATGCTCCCACATATCCAAATGACCACCTGGTTAACTAAAACCACTAGCCTTGCCGGGCTGAAGATGAAGTGTCTGCCTGACTTTTGATAGGTTGTTATAAAGTTATAGTAATCTGTGACTAATTTAAGTATAAGTAGGAAAGGAGTAGGAAGTTTCCAGGTGGTGCTAACGTGTTATCTGATAAGAGTAATTCAAATCAAGTCTGAGGTGTGTTAAATGTCTTCCGCCAGCATTTTGGCCTCGTCAAAAGTAAGTATGCTTGTACAGTCCCTGTTCTCTTATTTACAGCAATATCAAGTGAAATGAATGTGACCATTTTATGTTAGTTTCTACTGATTTCATCCAAACCCAAGAACAATTCGATGCCTTTAAAAAATGACATGGACCTTCACACCATTTTTTCTTCCTCCTACTGTAAGTCTCAGGTGTTTGAAATGGGTCTAAGTCATAGAAAACTTTTATGTAGATTAAGATAAGCTAATAATGAACTATTATTTATTGATCATTTGCTCTAAGTCAGACACTATTCTTGGTGCTTTCACTATATTAAATCTGAGCCTTCTCTCAAAACTGCAAGGGAGATATATTATCCTAATTCTTTAGTTGAGGAAACTGAGACTCAAAGAGGGTAATTAATGTGCCAAAATCTCACAGCTGGAAAGTGGATGAGCTAGAACTTGTATTCAGATCAGCCTTGCTTTTCCACTCTACCCCACTGCTTCCTACTACCTGGACACAAGTTGGTGCTTATGGGCTATTGAGAGCCCTGGAAGGTCAGCCTCTGTGGGAGACTCCCTAATGAGTCAAACTACTGCACACTGGAAAAATATACTCAGCTTGTCTCAAGAATCAAAAACTATACCATGGGTAGATTTTTTTAAAAACCAAGCTTTGGCCAGTTTTATTGAGGAAGTGCTTTTGTGGTTTACTTTGTCCTGGTGGGTTCTGGCTTGCTCTCAGTGATGTTAGAATCCCCGGATCAACTCTAACCTGGGTACACAGTTTGTAGGACTTTTCCCCATGCTGGGCCCCACAGAGGACTATTGTCACTGCAGTGAGGCACAACTGTTTAGGGTTGACATGGCAGAGTCCTCACATCTGACTCCCCCCAGGCTGTGCACTTGTTGGCCAAGAAGCCCCAGTTGGCTTTTCCATTTTCCAGGTCAGCGGCACCCTGGTAGTGCTTTTCTACTGTTGGTTGTCAGATGGAACCTGAAGGTGCTAGGCTCCTTAGGCTTTGGCCCTATTTGAGGCCACCATTTTCCTAGTGTGTATGAAATATTGCCCTAACCTTAAGCCCCCACCAAGATGACTAGGAAATAAAAGTGAAAGGTTTAAGACTCCTGAGGTGGTGGAGGGGAAATGATGGGAGGCAAGACACTAGGTTTATTTTTAAGCAATTATCCAAAATAAAGATATATAAGGAACCCTAGGAGATATCACACCTGGAGCCCACTTCTTTATAGTGATGAAAACTCTAGACCAGAAGGCAGTATAGCTGATTCTGTTTCCAGTGCTGCTAGTAGTTGTATTCAAAGATAATATTTAAGCTTTCTAAATATATCTTTACCCCTGGAAAATTATAACTACAAAATTTTCCTTTCTATAATATTAAAGGAATGTTTATAAACTCTAAAATAAACTTGAGAATATTACCTCACTTTTCTGGAGGATAAACTTTCAACAGCTTCAGCCGTTTGGAACATGGCCATGAACCTAAGCAGACAATTGGGAAGAGCAATTAATCAAGAATAAAGAAGCAAAAGGATTCCTGAATAGCTGAGCTGCCACCTCCATACCCTCTTTCTGCTCCTCCCTAAATCACACAGCAGAATAATTGAAAATGTTTGTGACACAGAGACAACCCTAAGATATGACTGCTGTCAGCCAAGGGAAAAGACACAAAAGCATCCTTGGTCAGTCAACAAGAACTCAGGTGCCTGGCAGAGGGGGGATATTTAAAACAAGTATGGGACTCAGTCTTTGCCCTCAAGCAATTTATATTGTCTTAGGTTACCACATATAAAATTGCCATTTCTATGGATAAGAATGGTCAAATACATCATTTTTGTATGTTCAATGTACAATTGGATAAGCAACACAATTACATGTTAAACAAATGCAAAGAGTACAAAACAGCATTGCATCAAGTTCTATGTTAAATTATATGATATAAATGTCTATGGAGAAACAGGAGATCCATGATAGCTGAAGTAGCCAAAGGTGACTTTCCAGATCATAAATAGGTCTGAGCCATGAAGTCTATGTGAAATTTAAATATGTGTTAAGAGAAGAGGTGAAACTCCAGATAGAGGAAATGGACGTGAGTGAAGGCCCAGCAGCAAGAGTGAGCTTATTCTATACAGAACGAAGTCTGCCCACAACCAAAGGTTCATACTGAGAAATGGAAAATGAGTGTGGATAGATAGTGTGGGGTCAACTTATGGAGACACTGGCATACAGGCAAATGTAAGCTTCAGTTCTGTCCAGTTCACTCTCGTATTGAGTATCTGGGACATAGTAACTCAATATAACTTTATGAAATGAATAAATGAAGAGTTTTGATTAATGATAAAATGAGAATTCACCTAAGATTTGAGGGAAGAGGTGATACATAACGGAAGTGATGTCTAAAACTGGTTAATATGTATGCTGGATGGATCAAAGGGAAAAGACCAGCATCTGAAAATAAAACCTGGTTGTTTAGGGAAGAGCAAAATAAGGAAAACCAAACTCAGCTGAAGTATTGTTACCACAATTTAGAAATAACCCTATGACACATTGGTAAGTGTTTACTGGTGGTTGGGTATATGATTTGGTAGTGATTATTTCTTAGAAAGTATGTATTATGTGTTGGTATTAGGAGCATGGCTTACTGGGGTTTATCAGAGCTAATGGTCCCTCAGAGAAGATAAGTAGAGAGGCGTATCTGTGGCTTCCTAAATGTAATAGGAGAGTAAATTGAAGAATGGTGGAAAATGTATACTTGCTTGACTCAAAAAACAGCCAGGATCATTTCTACCCCCTTTATTAAGAAAAAAAAAAAAACTGTACTCTTACAAAGCAGTAAACCTGATTTTTCTGTTTACTTTCTGCATTTTTAATGTAAAAATAATATACTTTTTTTTTTTAAATGCAGAAACACACTATATACAAAGTGGCAGACTTGCTTCTCTGGCTTGTTCTCTTCCCTAGAGTTAAGCACTGTTGTATTTATTTTTAAAACATCATGGGATTGTTTCATGATGTGTAAAAACCACGATGGTTTTTATCTCCAAAATAATGCATAGCTTCATTTTTTGCAAAACACATTGTTACATTCTTTGTAGTCTTTTATTTTTGTATTACCAGTCACTCATTTAGACATTGCAATTTCTGTTTAGGTGTGATTTACTACATTTCCCTCAGATGTTATTTTTTAGTAAAATTGTAATTTTAACTATGTATTCATTTGAAAGAAAGTTTCCACCTATTTCCAGTTACTTCCATCTATTTCCGAATTAAACTTAATCTTCATTTTTTCCCTTTTATCAAAATAAGCGTGTGTATGCATATACATTAATGAGAGAGAAGTAGAGGCAGAATTTATCTTGTTAGTATGTGAAGTGTTGAAGCCTTTGAAGCTTGTGCATATTAGGTAAGTAAGGAGGGCTGTGACTAACCACAGGTTCCAAACTCATGGATGTTTGCAGGACAACAGGTGGGGTAACCGTGGGAGACAGGCAGAGGCAAGACACTAGGGCCTGGTGGGGACGACTGTCAAGTGAAGAGTACGTGCCTCATTGGGAGCAAGCAGCCCCTACCCAGAGCCAAGATAATCATCACGTTAGAATTCAGGCCTCATTTTGCTAGAACTTCTAATTTTTTCCCAAAAAAGCCAAAAATCTGGATTTTTATGTGAAATCTCCCAATTTTTTAATTGGCTAATTTTTTAAAACATTAAAGATTTTTTTAAAAATCTACAGGTTGAAATGGTCCTCAGACTGCAAAATTGCAACTTCTTTCTATTATGCATACCAGCAGCAAAAGAAACCTATTTTTCCACATTTGCTGTATGTTCTTGGGGAGATGGTGTAAAAGTACCCCATTAATTCATCAGAGAAAAGATATTATTGAATTTACAACATAAACTTCTACATTCATATTTACCCTGTATGTTTTCAATCTATTTTGGGAAACCTACCACACTCCTCTTATACACCATAATTATGACGTTGGTCTGTAAAAGTAGGGTTCCCCATTTGTTGGTCCTCAACCCCCTGCAAGGAAGGAGGAATACAAAAGAAGTTTCAGCATCTTCATTTTCTGTCTCACAGTGGTTTAAATAAGAGAATTCTTTTGGAGCAACAATACTGTCTTTTCTTCCTCAAAGTTGCTGAGAAATTATAATTAGAAGTTTTTCTGTTGTGTAAAGGAAAGGGATTCCTTTCCTTTCCTGAGTCTGCAGGACTTCTATTCTCAACAAATTTGCTTCCCTGTCCCTTTTCTCTTTCTGCAGGTGATAGAGGGAAAGCTGGCTCCTTTCTTGGGCAAGGTCATTAAGTTTGCCACCTCACACGTATACAGCTGCAGTCTTTGTAGCCAGAAGGGGTTCATCTGCGAAATCTGTAACAATGGAGAGATCCTCTACCCTTTTGAGGATATTTCAACAAGCAGGTACAGAATATCTTATCTTACAAAAGAATACCTGAATATGTCACCAGCAGTTTTATTTGGCCAGATCACGCCAACTCTTGGTCAATTACTGTATCTCTGTCTCTTACCCTGGATCAGGTTTCCCTTGTCTTTGGAGAACATTTTTTACCCTTTGTTTTCCTGTATTTACTTCCAACCTTTACCTCCCTACCTTTATCCAGAATGAGATAACAAATGAGTTGCAAAAAAAACGTCCCTTAACTCTACCTTATTAGTTAACAATGAATGTTCAGATTCACTTTTAGAATGAAGACTGAGGAAAAAAATCCTCACAATCTTTTCAGAGCAAAGTGGTCAGCAGTAGGAAATTGCAGTCTCAGAGGAAGGCCAAAACCAGACCAAGTATCAGGAATTAAACTAGAGGACCCCGGTGAACAGCTGTCTGCCTCACCACATGCTTTTCTCCACAGATGCACTGCAGTGTAGTGATGAAAGTTTAGGACCCAAAGGAGAGAAAAGTGGGAGTTTATGTAGGATTATTTTCCCAACCAAAGTAATATTTGGACATCATCACATTCATTGATTGATGGATGATTTTTCCCCATAACCTAAGATTACGGTTTTTACTGTTGCTTTTCTTGAATCACTAAATGATACATATTACTTTTCCTTTCATCCCAAAAACGTAATAGAAATATACACTGTGTGTGTGTGCGCGTGCGTGTGTGTGTGTGTGTGTGTGTGTGTTCTGGCTTCTTTGGACATGAATATTGTGGCTCATTTCCCACCCTGCAGGGCATACTTACTCTGTGGTTCAGAAAACAAGGTGAGGCATAAAGCCAGAGAGAGTTGAAGTATGTAGGATAGAGCTAAGATGTTAGGAGTTGACTCAACTCTTTTGGTCTGTACTTAAACCCAAAGACTATTTGTACCCTTTCAGGAACTTGGGTTGGCCCCACACACAGACAGACACATTAACATGCAGACACACAGATAACACTCAGACACACAACACAGTCCATGCTCCAGTTTCCTGCGTGCAGGTACTTAGCTTATAGCCTCTATACCTCTTAAAAATGCATACCACATAAAAACTTGTAAATAAATATTCACAGCAGCAGTATTTATAATAGCCAAAAAGTGGAAACACCCTGAATGTCTATCAACAGATGAATGGATAAACAAAATGTGCTATACCCATACAACAGAATATTATTCAGCCATAAAAAGAAAGTGCTGGTACATACTATAACATGTATTATCCTTGAAAACATGCTGAGTGCAAGAAGCCAGACACAAAAGGCAGCATATTGTATAGTTCTGTTTATACAAAATGTACAAAATAGGTAAATTCATAGAGACAGAAAGTAAATTAGTGGTTGTCTGGGGCTTGCAGGAAGGAGGAAAGGGAATACTACTAATGGATACAGGTTTCTTTTTGGGCTAATTAAAATTTTCTGGAATTGGATTGGGGTGACAGTTGCATAGTCTTGTAACTGCACTAAAAATCAGTGAACTGTTTAAAAGGATGAATTTTATGACATGTGAATTATATTGCAATAAAAATATTAATAAAAAATAAAAATTAAATTGAAAAATGCTTCCAACTGAATAAACCATATGCTGTGCCACAAAACAAGCCTCAGTAAATTTTAAGATTTAAACTATACCAAATATATTCTCTGGCACATGGAATTAAAGATCCCTAGTAGAAAAAAATCTAGGAAACCCCAAAATATTTGGAAATTAAACAATATACTTCTAAATAACTCATGAGTCAAAGAAGAAATCGCAAGGGAAATTTTTATAAATACTTTGAGATGAATGAAAATGAAATACAAAATATATGGAATGCAGCTAAAGTAGTTCTTGGGGCAAAATTTATAGCTGTAAACACCTATATCAGAAAAGAAGAAAGAAGAAAGTTCTCAAATCAATGACCTTAAATTTAATCCTAAGAAACTAGAAAGGAGAGCAAACTAAATCCAAAGCAAACAGAAGGAAGGAAAGAATAAAGATTAGAGCAGATATCAATGAAATAGAAAACAAAAAACAATAGATCAATGAAACCACAAGTTGATTCTTTTAAGAGGTCAACAAAATTGGCAACCTTTTTGTTAGTCTGACCAAGAAATTAAGAGAAAAAATTCAAATTACCAAAATCAAGAATGAAAAAGGGTATAGAAGTTAAAAAAATTATAAAGGAATATTATAAACAACTTTATGCCAACAGTTAGACAATTTAGATGAAAGGGACAAATTTCTAGAAAGATAAATTACCAACACTGACTCAAGAAGAAATAGAAATATGAGTAGACCTATGAGTAAAGAAAGTGGATTAGTAACTTGTCTTCTCACAGAGAAGCCAGATGGCTTCACAAGTGAATTCTGTTGAATATGTAAAGAAATACAAATCATTAACACAAGGATAAAGGGGTAGTCAATCCTCCAAAAAGACATAACAGTCCTTTACTCTGTGTGTGAACAGAGTCAAAATATGTTAGGCAAAAACTGATAGATCTGCAAGGAGAAATAGGCAAGTCCACTAGTATAGTTAGAGACTTCAACAATCCTCTCTTCAGGAGTGGAGTTTGTACAAAATTATTTGACATCCTTCTGCATGAGAGATTTGTCTCTTCTTCCCATTTATTTTTTTTAGTTGTTTATTCATGTCAGTATGGACTTGTGCTTAGTTATTTCATATTGTGGGTTATAGTCCAATACTTCTTTATTTTATTGCTCAAACTCTTCCAGCTTTGGCCATTCAAGGTCTCATTTGGTTCCTGTGTCCCTTTGACATACCCCAATTATTATTGGGTTTTGTTTTGAGGGGTTTTGTTTTTTGTTTAGCATTTCCTTACTCTGGCCATAACAGATATTCCAGGCTCATCTTATGTATTTCTTGCCCTAATCCTAGAAGCAGATGTCTGTCCAAGGAGCCCTGGTTCCTTTTATTGGAGAATGATGTTGGAAACCAAGATCTGGGCACTGAGTTTTGCTCACATTTTTACAGCCCTCAGTCCCTGGACTTGTCCCTTGACTCGGATAGAGGTGCTGCCCTCTGACTGTACAGCAGAATCTCCTGTGAGACTTGGTTTCTTTTAATTACAGACTCTGTATCTTCAAAGACTCTGTGTGATAATGAGTTACCACCAAAAGAAGGAATCACCCTTTAAGGTAGCTGTGGTCATGGTTAGAGATGCTGGATTCTCATCAAAATGACCACATTAGCACAGCTATGGGCTCGTAAGAGCCTTTACCCAGTAGGAAAGAATATGTAGCTATTTAGAATCCTCTTTTTCTCCCTTGGTCAGACGCAGTTCTCTAAGCTTGCACAAATGTCTAAGTCAGAAGGAGCCTTGACCAGCTTTCGTAGAATTCCACATTAATAATACTTTTCAGGAACATGTTGAGCTTTCTCTTGCTGTTCAGTTTCCAGTTAAACACTAGGAGTGGTTGGTACAAGTCTATGGGAAATTGTAAAGAGAAACAGTAATAAAAAATTTATTAAAGGAAAACTTTAGTCAGAAATACTAAGTGGCTGATTCAAAGCATATCCATAATGATGTGTTGTATAAATAAATGTGATAAATAAAAAAAGAAACTTGAATAGTGGGGTAAATTTTTAAATCTGTGTATATAACTTTTGTGTAAATCTTTATGGATGAAGTAATATGATGTCTGGGATTTGCTTGATAATAAACTAATGGTGGGGGGGATGGATATAGATGAAAGAGATGGCCGTACACTGATAATTGGAAGCTAGGTGATAGCTACACAGGCATTTATGATACTGTTCTCTCTCCTCTTGAGTATGTTTGAAATTTTCCACAATGAAACATATTTAAAAATCTGTATGTAAAGATGAGAAATGATGTGTGAGTTATTAGAAATAAGATATTTAATGAATTTGTTACCACATATCCTTGCCTATCCTGCTAAATTCAGTACCTCTGTGTCCTTAGAAATATAAATAACCTTTCAGATCCAAATATCATTTGAATAGCATAATTACAATTGAGTAAAAAACATCTCACAAGCATCAGTGCTGTTTGTTCTCTGAATAAATGATTTATTGAGCATTTTATGTGTATGTGTTAGGCTAGGTTCTGGAGACTCACAGTGAACATGGCATGCTCGTTGCTTAGAAGTTTACTAAGGAACAGATCATTTTATTAAAGTGTGGTAGGAGCACGGTAGAGGGAGTAGACCTGAAGCTCTGAGAAAGGCTCCACCATCCATGCAGCGATGTGCCCTACAGGTGAGAAAGAAGTGCCACAATTTCTTAAGTATTAGGGAACTCTATGTTGAACTCTAAAGCACTGATTTATGTACTTCAGTATTAGAATATAGTTGGTTTTAACATGCTTAATTGATTATGACCATATATCAAGCATTGGTTAACTCTTTCAGACTTTCTTTTCCCTATTAAATTAATCATTATGCAGGAGGAAGCCTCATGAATGTGTAATTTGAAAATATATCCCTAGTAATAATTTTTAGAACCCCACCTCTGACAGATATAGAAAACGTGCTGGGACTGTAGGGGAATGGCACTAATACTTACTAGTGCTAGTGTAGCACTTTACATATCTCATCATTTAATTCTTCTGCCAGTCCTCTGAGGGAATAGTGTTACCTCCATTTTAATAATGAGGAAACCTAGGTTCAGAGAAGGCAATTAACTTAGCCAAAGAGATAAGGCCGAAACTCTAATCTAAATACATCTGACTACAAAATCCTTGCTTTTTTTCACTATTTATTCTACTTTTGTACCTGTAGTCTTCAAGCTATTTTGCAATATACTCCCTAAAATTAATTTGAAAAAATTATGTACCTCTGTCATTAAAGAAGTCTCCCCCAAAACTGCTATTGGGAATTGCCCCATTATTTGCTACTTTGGGGTTTTTTACACTTGGAGTGAGCCATGGATAGATTGGGGTGGGGGGAAGATTTGCCTTTCTTTTGCAAAATGACTGAAGGACAGTTGTGATGGGGAGTGAAGAAGGAGCAGACAGCAG